CTTCCGAGCCCCCGTTCGACGTTGGTCCCTTTGGATTGCTGAGGGGTCGTTTTATGTTTTGATTTTTTTAATTTCATTTTGGGGCTTTTGAGATATTGGTCCCTCAAAACTAAATAATTTGAGCTAAATTTCTCAGACCTATTATTTTGAAATTAGTTCCCCAAAACTTGTTATTCGGTCAAAAAGGCCCTTGCAGTTGTTGTTAACTCACAAAATGAATGATATCAATTACTTTTTTGTCGGGGTCCATACAGGTGGGTCTGCGTTTCTTTTATATTTTTAAACTAAAGTTAAGATGAATTGTAAAATTGAGGAAGCAAAACAATTTTGGGACAAACTTACAATTATTAAGATTTGGGGAAATTTTAATTGCTGGTAGAAAACCCCCAGATAGAAGATGCTTATAATTTTCAGATTTTTTTAAGAGGTTTGCTTATAATGTTTAGACTTTACAAAAGGTAGTTTGTAATTTTTAAATATTGAAGGGGTTTTTGTTCATATTTTGGATTATTTGAGGGATTGTTTATAGGTTTTCTCGGTGTTTTTGTAATTTTTTAGGTTATTTTTTAACTTTTAATTTGAAAGGTCTATCTGTAATTTTCATATTTTTAGGGGAGCGTTTACAATTTTAAATTTCCTAGGGTACTATTTGTCATTTTATGTTTTATGGGGTTTTTTGTAATTTTCATATTTTTAGATAGGGAAAAAATGCTTCCAGCCCCCAAAACACAAGAAAACGTGCTCCCCCCCCTCAAGACTTTTTCAACGGGTGCTTTGCCCCCAAAATCGCCCGCGATTTTCTTCCAGCCCCCAAAACAAATCCCCAGGCGTAACTCCGTTTAAACCCCTCATGAAATGCCCAAAATACCCTTCGCAGCCTGTGTTCGTCGCCCTCTCACGTCAGAAACATAGTGTTCCGACTGTAGGCGTTAAATGGTGATTAGAATGCTTTTTTTTAGGGGGGATTCACATTTCCCTCCAAAATTATCACCAGATATACTCCCCTTCCCGCCGTAATAAAATCGATGAGTTCCTCCCCATTCTATTACCCCAACTAATTTGTTCCTTCCACTTAATTCTCCTCAATAAAAGCCTCTTCGATTCTTCAACTACTCCATGTAATAAAATGGCGGATGGATCTCTTCTATGCGTGGTAACGAAGGCAAAAAGCAACAAAGGTGGTGACGGTGTATTCGTTGTTATCAAAGAGAATACAGAAATAATCAGCTTGAAATATCAAGTGTCGAAAAGGCTTGAAATACCAATGCAATCTCTTTCACTGAAGTTCATATGCGAAAGGGAAAAGAAATTCAGTATTTCAATTGACAATGACAATGACTTAAATTTGATGTTCGAGTATTGTCAGCGTAATGGATTTACAGACGCGAATTTATATGCTACCTCCACTGGGGAATCCTCAACTTCGCAAAACACGCAGACTACGTCGGAAACTGCGTAGGAATTACACTCGAGATTTCCTTTTGAGTTCACTGATAGGTTTTGTCATTAGTTGTTAACCTTATGCATTGGTTGCTTAGGTAATGAGTTGGTTGTCAAGGTTATGTTAAAGACTGGTTGTTAAGGTTATTTGTTCGTTGTTACGTATACTAGTTGGTTGCTATGATAAGATGTTTGATGTTAAGTATATGCGTATGTTGTTAAGGTCACGAGTCTGTCCTTAAGTATAAGGGTTAGTTGTTAAGGATATGTGTTGGCTGTTACGTTTATGAGTTCGTTGTTAAGGTTATCAGTTCGTTGCTGAGGCTATGTATTTTTATTACTACTTCAGGATAATACCGACAGAAAATTCACGGTGCGCAGATACAATGTTCACCCATACCTGTAATGATGAGCGTATTCCTAATGACAACCCCACCGGAGACTTGATCATGCTGCTGGAAGACATACTTAATCACCAAACAAAGATCCCAACTGAGTGGCACACCTCCATATGTGAAGTTGGTCAGAAATTTGATAATGCTGCTGAAGTTAGATTAGCACTTCAATACTATTCAATTGTTAAACAGTTCGAGTATGATTTTTACCACAATGAACAAAGGCGCATAAGAGTCTATTGCCGATTCAAGCACACACATGGTTGCCCTTGGATGTTGTTTGCTTCTCCGCTCAGAAATTCATCTATCATGTCCATAAAGAATTTCGAATCTACCCACACCTGCGGTCAACATGGAGCAAATGCTGGCAACTCAAGGGCATCAAGGAAGTTCATTGCTAGCCAAATACAAGCTGTTTTGAAGGTTAGGCTAGATCTTCGTGCAGTTGATATCAAGAACGACATTCTCTCTAATTTTGGCATCAAGATTAACTACATTAAAGCGTGGTAGGGCAAGGAGACATCTCAACAGGACCTGTTCGGTGACGATGATGAGGCTTACGATTCACTGAGATGGTCCTTTTTTTTCTTCTGAAATCACTCTTACGTTTTGGTTGCTAACTATACGTAGTAGTTGTTAAGTTATTGGTTCGACGTTAAGTATACGGGTTGGTTGTGAAGTTTGAAGATCAGTTGTTATGGTTATGAATCCGTTGCTAAATCTACTGCTTACGTTTTGGTTGCTAACTATACGTATTAGTTGTTAAAGTTGTTGGTTCATCGTTAAGTATATGTGTTAGTTGTGAAGTTTGAAGATCAGTTGTTATGGTTATGAATCCGTTGCTAAATCTACTGCTTATGTTTTGGTTGCTAACTATATGTATTAGTTGTTAAAGTTGTTGGTTCGTCGTTAAGTATACGTGTTGGTTGTGAAGTTTGAAGATTAGTTGTTATTGTTATGAATTCGTTGCTAAATTTACTACTTACGTTTTGGTGTTCGCGGTGAAAATTGCCTTCTTAGAATTCATTGTCATCTTGAATAACTATTTTTCGGTTACAAAGATCCGGTATTTTTTAGATCCGGTTACAACGAAATCAAAAAAAAAGAAAAAATTACAACTTTCCTTTTACAACTTTCCTTTAGAACAAATCGCAAGATCCTGTTTTGCGGTCTCTTGCTTGTGTGGGTTCTTTGCCGACGCCGTGGTTAATCCGTGGACCACCGCGCGATCTAGATCCGGTCGGATCTACACGATTCGACGGGTATTATTTCACCAAGGAAATAATAGCCGAGGGTACTATTTCGCCAAGGAAATAGTAGCCTTTAATTCTCGGGATCAAAGGCCAAGCTTTGATCCGGAGTGTGCCTGCGTAGATCTGAGATCCGGTCCTCTCGAACTCTTGCCTTATTTGGCGTTGACGATCGCCGAGCACCAGATCTGGATGAGCAAGTCCTCGAAGTCCTAAAGTTTGAATCTTTTTTAGATCTGAGTCTTCAATCCAGCAGGGCTTCACCTCCAAAAAATCCAACCTTTTCAAATGAACAAAGGGGAGCCTATTTATAGGCTCTCTGAACTGTGCCCGCACACAGATCTGGGTCGGCCACCCATGGGTGGCTCGGTCTTGGCCGAGCCACCCACGGGTGGCTCGGCTTTGGCCGAGCCCCCCTTAGGCTTTTCTGTTTCGTCGTTTTATCCGTTGTATCCGTTTTTTCAGTTGACTTAGACTCTGATTTGGCAGTAAATTCGATTCTGAGTTCGAGTCCGAAACCAATCTTGATTCGGTTGTGATTCATCCGAGTCCGCTCTTGTTTGGATGACTCGTTGATTCTTCAAACCCTTGGCTTGATTCCACACATGAATGGATGTATTCCATTGCTTGCGTGCGATTCGTCAACCTCGTCGCCTCGTTGGTTCGTCGGTTTGTGCCGACCTATGCTAAGGGACCTATAAGTAATTTTAGAGTTCCGGTGCTGCATTTATTGTCTGACCGTTGTCGGAATTTTAAACTTGAAGTCGATTCCTGATTTTCTAATCTTTAGCTGACCATCGATTGTTGGCGTTGAGTTTTTTATTTGCGACGCGTTGTCTGGCGTAGTGTTGTTGAGTTATCCTTAAGAATATTTATGAAAAATATTCTCCAGGAACTTCTCAACCAAAAATAGGGAATAGTTTATACTCGTATACCTTATTGGAGTATTTTCTGTGCTCAAATGAGCTGAACCGGCTTGATAATGAGCCAAAAAGGCAGTAATTCGGCTCAAAAAATCTTCTGATTTTTCCGAACATGTGGGAGAGGCAAGAATAAATCAAGGACTGAATCCTCTGTCGATTTGAAGTTGTTTCGATGCTCGATTCAGCTTCAATTTGAATTCTGGTTCAAACTAGGTCTGGTCTGGTTCAACTTGGTCTGGTCCGGTTCAACTAGGCTTGGTTCAACATTATAAAAGAGGGTTTTTTCTCCCTCATTAGGGTCGGCCCCCCTCTCTCCCCTCTTCTATGATTTCTCTTCCCTCGAGCATCCGTTCTCCCTCAAAATTTCATAGTTGCATTAGATCTAGTATTCCTTTGGATCTTTGGCTGAGAAATCCCTCAAAACTTCCATATTTAGAATTTCTCTCAGGCCCCTCGAGCGCGTGGTCCGAGCCTCTTTCAGATCTGATTTTTATTGGATCCACGAGCTTTTCCTCAGGTAAATCCTCAACCATTTTAGCATATTTTATGCTTAATTCAATTTATGAATTTGTGGGGTCGCATGCGAGTGTTAGGATTAAGATTTGGCGCCTCGAGCTCACCTTTCAGGGGGGGAGAATTGCAAAAAAGGGAAACTTTTTCTAGATCTGATTCCCTCATTTATTTTGCAGGTCTCTATGTCTCGTATTGCGAGAGGTCAATCCTCTACCGCGTCGGCTGATGGCGCGCCTCCCTCTTATGCTGGTGAGCTATTTTTGGAAATTTACAAATTAGTCCATTTTTTCTTAAAAATTTACAAATTGGTCCTTTTTATCCCCATTTTGTTCTCCTTGGTGAGGCAATCGGGAAGAGCCTTGATTCTCCTTGGCGAGGATCGACGCTTTAAAGATATGTTTTGCTTGGTCAAAACCATATCTCAAAATCAATAAAGGGGGCGTTTTGACGCCGCATTGTGCCTTATAAGGTAGGGATATATATAGTCGATATACCCTATCTTATAAGTGCATAATGTGGCCAAATCGTCTCACCCTTTATAAGGCAGTGACTCTATCTTACCCATTCGTAGGATGAGTTCAACTTCCTTTTATGATTGAGACTAACAACCGTTTAAAATTTTGCTTCTAGTGGAATATCCTTCTAGGGCGTTTTCATCTCACGCAGTGTACGGGCGTCGTGGCGAGTACTATTCGACTTCCGACGATTTCTCCCCTATCCCAGTCACTCCTCGGTTTGCTTCGGGCACGTCGACAGAGGTTGCCCAAGTGGTGAAGGAAGGTGGACATCGAGCTCTTCGCCAGTTGATTACAGATGCGCCCCTCGTGAAGGATGCCAGTTCGATTCAGCCTCTCAAGAAGACCGACTTTTTATTTGGCGATTCTGCCAGAGATCCGGATACCGTGTTTATTGATGCTGAACAGTGGCTTCATAAGACTGGCAGTGGTTTCATATATTTGCCGAAGATTCCTCGGCATCGTGGCGCTTGACGGAGGAGCATGAGAGCGTTCACTGCGGCTACATCACTCATCAGGCAGCTCCTGGTTCGAGCAGGAGTCACATCACTGGATTGCATCCTGGAGTATTGGGGTTAGATGCACCGCCACGTAACGAGCTTCTTGCCGCTGCTTCTACTTTGAAGAATCGCCTCGCTGCTTTAGGACGGGAGATGCCTGCGATACGCCACAGGTTTTATGGTTGGGTCCATTCTTTGGACAAGCTTTGGTGGACTCGCATGACGAAGTACGTCTTGAGCCGATGGAGCGAGGAGTTGCACGCTTGTGGTCTGTATGCAGCCGTTCGTGCCACCATGTATGGTTTACCTGTTAGCACGAAGCATTTCTTCGCTTTGTGCGAGCTCTACAACCCGGATTCGAACACTTTTCTGACACGGCAAGGGGAGTTGGGCTTGGCCCTCCATGAGATGCACAGGATTTCTGGTTTGCCCATGGGACAGATGCTATATCAGGAATATTTTCCCTCCAACCAAGAATTGAGTCAGCTGAAGGATCGCATGCCCGACCGCTACGAGACTTTATGGGACCTCACATGTCACTATCATATCGCTTTGGCGCAGTCTGAACCTTTAGCGAAGAGGGCTAAATCCCATGTGAGCCAGAAACAGTTTGCGTCTTATTTGTTCAGAAATCTAGAGAGCAATTCTGGCGAGACTTTATGGGACCTCACATGTCACTATCATATCGCTTTGGCACAGTCTGAACCCTTAGCGAAGAGGGCTAAATCCCATGTGAGCCAGAAGCAGTTTGTGTCTTATCTGTTCAGGAATCTAGAGAGCAATTCTGGCGAGGCTATTTGTGAGTTGGCACCACTCATTCCTTCAGGGGTTAATAGTCTACTGAAGAAGGTTGATGCTCATTCCTATACCATTAGCAGTCCTGAGAGTGGTTTTCCTACAGGGACCAAGTTTAAAGCATTCTTGTGGCATGCGACCGCGCCGATTCGACCGATGACCCTTCTTGCCGGTTACCTCGCTATCTGGTTAAAGAAATGCGTGGTCCCGTATCAGTCTAGTGATATCCTGCCATTGGAGGTGCTCTACCCAGCGGTTGAGCTTGCCTACAAAAAGGAACTTTCGCTTCTTCCGGTGATGGTGGCTAACATTCATCGAGGGCTTCGACAGATTTCTAGTACTTTCACACAGAAAGAAGATGAACCGTCGGCTCGGATTCCTCTTACTAAGGTGGAGCTCCCATACAAAAAAGGAACTTTCGCTTCTTCCGGTGATTGTGGCTAACATTCATCGAGGGCTTCGACAGATTTCTAGTGCTTTCACACGGAAGGAGAGTGAATCACCGGCTCAGATTCCTACTATTAAGGTGGAGCTTCCGTACACTTATTTGATGGCTTGGTTCGTCCTTCATCGTTCTGATATGATGTC